GAGGGTTTTCCTGAAGCCACTGCTAGGCCTTTGTCAACGCCACTTTCTTTCGACGACTTTTCTCGCAGCCATGTTGGAGTAACTGGTAGGCCTATGACAACACCATCAGTCGTCGAGTATCTCTCTAGCTGCCCAACCGAAATAATTCCTGAACTTTTAGAGGAAATATCAGCCTCCCAGGAAGGACCTCGCGAAGAGCCTGAAACTACTGCCGGACCTTCAACATCACCAGAAAACATAGCATCATCACCGTTGTCCACGGAAGAATATTGTAAACAACTGGAAGCCATTCTTGGGTCTTCAACACCATCAGACAATACAACAGCATCACCATCCCAGGAACAATCTACCACTCAATTCGAGGCCATTCCTGAAATTTCAACTGAACCAGACAGTTTAGGAGCATCGTCAACCTCACAAGAAGAATCTGGTAGCCAGCCCAAAGTAATTCCCGGAACTTCAACAAAGCCACGCAGTGTAGGAACACCATCGGCCTCCCGGGACGGAACTAGCAGCCAACCACCTGCTTTTCATAGGCCATTGACACCACCATACGATATTTCAGCGCGCTCAGACTTCGAGGGGGTCCCTTTATTCATATCTGAAGAGGCCGTTAGGCCTTTGATAACACCACTGGTTTTGGACGACGTCTCTCGCAGCCTTATTGAAGTCCCTGGTAGGCCTAAGACAGCACCATCAGTCTTCGAGTATCTCTCTAGCTTATCCGAAATAATTCCTGCACTTTTAGAGGAATCATTAACCTCCCAGGAAGGACCTCGCGAAGAGCCTGAAACTACTGCTGGACCTTCAACAGCACCAGACAATAAAACATCACCATCCCAGGAACAATCTACCAGTCAATTCGAGGCCGTTCCTGAAATTTCAACTGAACCAGACAGTTTAGGAGCATCGTCAACCTCACAAGAAGAATCTGGTAGCCAGCCCAAAGTAATTCCCGGAACATCAAGAAATCCATACAGTGTAGGAACACCATCGGCCTCCCGGGACGAATCTAGGAGCCAAACACCTGCTTTTCATACGCCACTGACACTACCATTCAATATACCAGCGCACTCAGACTTCGAGGGTGTCCCTTTATTCGTGTCTGAAGCCACTGCTAGGCCTTTGTCAACGCCACTTTCTTTCGACGACTTCTCTCTCAGCCAAGTTGAAGTAACTGGTAGGCCTGTGACAGCACCATCAGTCTTCGAGTATCTCTCTAGCTCCCCAACCGAAATAATTCCTCCACATTTAGAGGAATCATCAGCCTCCCAGGAAGGACCTCGCGAAGAGCCTGAACCTATTGCTGGACCTTCAACAGCACCAGACAATACACAAGCAACGACGGCAGCCTCTGAGGAGCAATTCTCTAGACAACCTCAAGATATTCCCGGATCTTCTAGAGATTCAGAAAATGCAGGACCTTCATGGGCCACCCCAGCTACGATACCCTTTCTTCCACTCATAACAATTTACCACGAATTGTTCGGAGTCAACCAGAACATCTCAGTTGCCATTCCACAAGTGTTGAACTCATTTCACAAGGTATGAGGTGGACAGGATTGAACCACAGGATTTCTCTTTTCACAATATATAGTAATTATAATTCACAACTGCCTTCTCGGATGCCCACTTTAGTGAAACAGTGTCTAAACCCCTAACTCGTTCTACAAATTTCATTCAAATTTACTTTCCGTTTTTCTATTATATTCGAATGAAACGATGTGGAAGCTGGTTCCAATCAGTACAATTTACTTCAAGGACAGATTTCCTTAATATCCTGACTGAAAGTATCACACTAACTCTAACCCTAAAAGTTAATTATAAAATCTTAAATTCAGAGTAAGGCTGTCGATGTTTTCACATCGAAAGCCTTTGTAGGTTGAGTACACGACACTAATTAGACCACAGTGGTGGGTGTTAGTCGATGGTGTTTGATTTTAAACATCGTCATGATTCCCATCTACATATATGCTCACTCGCTCTACCATTTTGACTCTCATGGTGCACGTATCCCATTTTAAGCGTTTTCAGTTTGGGAAGCGATTCGTATGAATGGACTTAGTACATGGACAATTTAATATAAATCCAATTATGTAATCGCCATTTATCTTGTACGGAGTTGAATTAGGTGATGAAAATTGTTTACGATTTTAAGCTTATTCACATTACGAAAAATTACGACTTTTCGATTAATCAATCTTTTCGTTATTTCTTTTCTCCACACGCAAAAAAAATGTTCATGACCAGATACTTAAATATATTTTACGTTTGTAATTCCAGGCAACTCTGGCAGTTCCAGAACTTGCAAAGAAAAGAGACTGGGTTTCTCAGCAACTTGAATTATGCGCTTTGCAACAGACGTACACGGAAGGGAAGCTAAAGGATTTCTTCTTGGAGCTGCACTACCTGATCGCGAAGATCGAGGTAACAAGGGAAAACCTGTTGAAGCCATTCAAACAAATGTTGAACATACTCCAAGCACTGGCCCCTGTGTGTTTTTACGCGCGTGTAAGAGCACTTGAGGTGATGTCGCGTGACGAACTCCCCACAGGTGCAGTTTACCACCCCCGAATGGTTATGGATCAATTAAATGAAACTTGTTTGCTGATGGAGATGCTCTTGAAACGGCTACGCTCAGCAATTAAGAAGCTGGAGGACAAGTGACCACGAAATATTCAACGTTCATCTGTAGGTAGGCCACATGCATTTTCTCACATTTTGTATCCAGACTAATATAATATAAGGACCTGAATACAAACTGTTGAGAAAAATACTTGAACGTGCATACGATGACATGGACAGCTTGTGACATAACATACGGAACACTTGGCATTGTTAGGACTGAGGAATTTTAAGAGTATTCTGTGAATTGAGTGTGGGATAAAGAGAAAATGGGACGTTAAATGCGTACAGAATTTTTATAAGGAAACCACCAGCAATAGTGTACTTGAAAGACCAACAAGGACAAAGAATGATAAGAGAAAGAATTTTGTGAAGATGGTAGATGCAATTGTATAAAAATTATTTTAACTCTCCATAATGAAACAAGAAAAACCGTCTTGAACCTACCTTTAAAGCCGTGGTTCTCTTCGCATGTGATATTAGTCAAACAAAAGCCACCTCTACCGCCTATTAAACAATTCTAGAAAATAAATTTGTGACTTTCATAGAATGCAAATGCTAATTTGCCACCATTTTATGAAAAAAAAAACTATCTTTAGAGTAATGTTCTTTGTTGAAAGGTTTAAAATATAAAGTTTGAACGCATGTTTATGTTAATACCCTAGTTATAAGCACCCAATAAGATATTATTACTAATATATTAATTTTACTTTCTTAATGGCTTGTGTATTGTGTAAAAGTTGTTGCAAAGAACTGTTAAATTTCTCATTGAAAATAAAACAAAAATAAGCTTTTTATGGAATCTAAGGGCTCGCATGTTTTCTTACAACCAGGCACCACCTGACGTCAACTGGAACCAGCTTATGCCAGTCCATATCATATATCACATTTGTCCTAAACTCCCTCTACTGCAGAATTAACCTGCAACTCCTTGCATTTCTTGTACTAAAATTTTATATGCTTTAACGATGCCTCCATCTTTAGCCATTGCCCTGATGATGGAGGCAGCAAGCAGCTCTAAAACTTCTATCGGACTGCACGGTCGAACATTCCAAAAAAAAAAATAGTATAATCTTCAGAAAAACAGAATTTTAGACATCACACACAAAAATGGAATATTCAGTCTGTCGACATGAAATAGACTTACTAAATATATTTTGTCATGAAAGGATAACTAGTACTCCAAAATTTAACTTAAAATGTCTTGATGTTATAATATTTTATAACACATATAAATTCCTGGCTCTTATATTTGTTTAAGTTAACACTCTGAACACAATTTCGATTTTATCTCGCAGGAAGATTTAGTGTTGGGGGGGGAAACTTTTTCGTGGCTTCATATTGATCGCAATGCAAACATTAGCAAACACAATCTTTTATGAACACGCTCGTCTTCATGTTTGTAAACTAACAGTAACGATACGGTAAGAGTTCCAGTCAACTTCTACCGGACGACTGTGACACTGACTCCGGTCCTGCAAGGTACGTAAATACAACGAATCATTAACTAAAGTCACATTAAAGTATACACGTGGTACGGGTTATTAAATACGCCAATACGGATATATGAATAAATAAATGCGTGTAAGTGAACACAAAATTCGTTTTACGAAACCGATTATGTTCTTCAAACAGCAAAATGTAAACGTCTCTATTATGTAAATGAAACGTCTTCAAACATTGAGCAAGTTAACGCAGAAAGTGTTTTTATGCTGAAATGGGCACACTTAATAAGCTTAAATTATTCTATACAGCTAACTTAAATAAATAATATTCTGAATATGAAGGATTTTTTTTTGTAACGAAACGAAATTTAATCCACTCTAACCTTCGTAGGGAGGTTCAGGAACACAACTAAGGGTTTGCTGCACGATGATATTAATTTACTTTGGCGAAAATACAAATTATAGATTCTAGCAAGAAAGTAGGTATATAGTTCGCGACTGTAATCTTGAGACTTGCGGGGCGAGGAAGTGAGGTGAAGGAGGAAGTATAGTAGTACGCTTCGGACTTTCTGCATTCCTTGCAAGTCTCAACACACAACAGACTGCAGGACACAATCATGATACAAAGGTAACTAATAAACATATGTAAAATGTGGCAAAAATTCAAATATTTGGCAAAGCTGTAAACTAATCTAAATTGCATTCCCGAGTAAATTAAGAGCAGACTAAATTCACGGAATGCTTGCTACCACGAAGTACAGAAAAAACTTATATTTTTGTCATTTAACTAAAAAACATAAACACTGAAGTACACGCACTATACTTTGCCTCTTGTTATGTATACGTGTGAAATAATCTTTTAATTTTTTTTTTTGGATTTCCTTAGAGAAAGATATAACTTGACAGAATTAGACACATGTAGGATAATATTAAGCTTAACTTAATGATAGGCACAGAGGGTGTGGACTGGATTCTATTGCTCAGGACAGGGGCCTGTGGGCAGAATCGACGTAATAAGCCTTCCGCAAGTTCTTGAGTCCTTGAGCTAATATTAGCTTCACAAGGACTAATTCATTATTAATATTTTAATATCAGTGCGTGTGTAATTCAGTCTGAATCCGGTTTTATTTTGCGATCAGTACGAAAAATTACCATCGTACTATACAGACCTATCGTAAAAGAGCATCGTCTTAAAGGCACTTAGTGAGTCTGTCCAGTCGTCCCTTCCATTTAACTGTGTGTTCCGACGACCCAAACAGTAATACAAGGTGTCCCAAAAAGATATATATACACACACATTCGACGAATGAAATAAACCATTGCATACGTCAGCATCCTCACTTGGTGAATTAGCGAATCTAATATAAGTGTAGAGCTACACAGTATGAATAAACTGTCAATATATTTAAGCAGCTCCTCTTACAAGCATTGTCCTAATCGTTTCCCCCCAACCCTTGGATTTATGGGCCTAACAGCAATTATTACTGCTTTTAAAATAAAGCATTGAGACGCTTTAGAAAATTATGATAATATGCAATATCAATAAAATCCTCTCGGGCAATCAGCCGCGTTAACTGGTTACCGTAGTAAACCGACGTTTCGGGAACCAGTTAACGCGGCTGATTGCCCGAGAAGATTTTATTGATCCCCATTTGAAGTTTTAAGCCTGCCAATTCTGTTCTTGTATGACTAAGATTGTCTCATAGCTTTGTAAGTTCCTTTTGTTCCTGTGAGTAATGGACAATACTCCGTAGCGCGCAACAAATACGTCAAAAAAGTCTGTTTTCTGTCATCTGTAACAGCATGTTCCAGCAGGACGAGACACCGCAGGAGGTCGCTGAAGAATGGAAGCTGAAGAACCGGTACGATGGTCAAAAGTTCGAGCAAATCCAGGAGGAAGGGGGACAACCACCGTATCAGCCCCACCATAAACCTCAATCAGCACATCACCAGCCACAGCCGAGACTTCAAAAAGAAAATATTACAAGCCGCGCCCATGTGGAACGTCAGCATGATGAATCACGTGCTCAATTCTACGTTAATCCAAAACAAAAACAAAAATTAAGGGACTGTAATCCACCCCCAGAACAAGTACAGGATCAGAATCTGATTGAAGATGAATATGAATTTAAATATATGAAGGATTGTATCGATCTGTTGAAACTGGACGAAGATGATGATTTCTGCCAAATTCAGTCTCAAGAATTACCTCAGCACCAAACTGGAGGAAATTCACAAATGTATCAGTTGCAAGGGCAATCCGTTCAGTGCCCTGAAATGATTGACACCGTCAGCCAGCAACCCTACCTAACTGGACAACCAAACAGCGGGCCTCAGAGTCTGCTAATGCATTTAGAAGGGGATCCGAACGAACCCGTTCTTTGTCCGATGGCAAAACTACCTCACGAACCTTGTCTTTGGAAGGGTATTAAGAGGTGGAGGAAAGGTCACATCGAGATGAATCACTACATGTACCTTTCTACAAACAATTACGTCGCCCTGACTTTCAACAGAGTGGCCATACTGAGCGTTTACACTGAATACTTCCTTTGTTACACAGTCACAAAAGACGATCCAAAGAAGTTGTTCTGCGTTGCCCAGCACGCCTGTCAGTCACATAATTGCATGCTGACCTACCAGTACAGGTGTGAGATTCGAGCTGCTAATGGGTACGAGAAGATAACAGAAACGCGACTGGTGGCACATATTGCGGACGATTTCACAACTCTGAATAAACTTGGTAAATGCGTCAGATTTGACGCAGAAGTGATTACGTATTTTGTTGGAACTGATGAGCTGAATGTCAATTTTGAAATTTCAATCCCAGAACCAGTTTAGATTAAGCTTTGCTTTTTTTTAAAAAAAAAATTTGTTAGTTCTCACTAATATTTTACTTCTTAGAAAAACGCTTAAATTTATTCTCGGTAAACTGGCACTATTATTACCGCCTTCGACTTCAGCTGTACACAATTATTTTTGCCGTGGACAACTGAAAAATTAGATTTTATTATAAGTGGGCATGACTGAGCTACAGACTAAGATGGCTTTTAATCTTAAATTATAAGTTTGAGAAAAACTAGTATTTTGGAACAAGGAAATAAGAAAATTCTAAGGAGAATGTTTACTTTTAACAAACAGGCATAAGCAGAAATGTGGACAAAATAACTCGCAAAGGTATTTTTAATCCATAATGAAATATTATTACAGTGATTATCTAAAATATCATATGGGGGGCACATGTATGGGGAAATAAATAAATTCATACAGAATTTTTCTCGAAGATTTATTACCTTATTCCCTCTTTAAGCCAGATTAATCCAGTCCGAGCCCTCATACCCTGTTTATTTAAGATAAGTTTTAATATGCTCCATCTAATCTGGATCTCCCAAATAGCTCCTCCCTTCAATTTCTAAAACAAAAATGTATCCATTCTTCATCTCCAATAATCGTGTTACAGGTCTCCCTAACTCAACCTAAATACGTGTTTCTGTTTTAATTATTTGTAGTCAAACCAAATGTATAAGCGATGATCAGTCTGAAACAGGAAATTCTTGATAAACTGAACGAACCCATATCATCGTCACAGCATCGCACAATTCCGCTGACGAGCTGACGTTGGCGTGACAGGCAGCTGCTTGTTAGTGATTAGCTCGCACTTACAGAGCTCGAATACCACACACTTCTGACGTGGCGCTTACAATTTCAGCAACAAGGAGCAAAGTTACACTCAGGCCCAATAAGGCAGATTTGTCCAAGCCCGTTTATTTTTCCTTTGTTCAGAATTTCAATCTTAGAGTGATGTATGACCCGTCAACGCGGACGGAAATTAAACCTCCTTTTGTATTGAACAGCAAAACAGTTTATTTCAGAATTATCTGCGTAATATCGCAGTGAAGTTATAAAAGTTGTAAAATGTTTTTTTTTATATAAACTAAAATGAATACGACTTCTTCACGTCCAGACTACCGGAAACACAGACTCTTTTGTATTTCTTGCTATCAGAAATTAATTCAATTTTTTTTTCTTCAACGCGCAAACATGCAAGCCTGACGGACAATGAATATTTAATGACGAGATAATCCATCATCCATCGTCTTGATTCTTCTTCTTAAGCACAACATTTTGGAAACTGTCTATAATAGTCATGTGCGTTGTAACACAGCATCGCTGGCTTACTTGTTACTTCTTTTTCATATTTCAATTTAGACTAAATCTTTATTTATTTATCTTGATGAAGGAAACCTCCTGTAAGACCTAGATATGTAGACAGGAGAACAATAAGTGGAAGGAATAAATCCCAGAAACAACTGGGAATCTCTCACAGAGCAACATGTCTCTTCGGGAAAGGGTTTGGTTATGCCTCAGTTAAAACAGTGTTTGTCAGTGTGTTACTCTGTCTTATAATGAATGCATACTTGTCTACATATCCAACAGTAGTTCGTTGAAGTATCGGAAAACAGCCGACAGCCGCAAGATCCTGTTCAACCAAGATAATATCTTATCAGCTTGTGTGTTTGTTTGTTAACTTGTTGCAGACTATGTTCCTTGACATTTCTGTTCATTTCTGTATATTTACCGCACTCCCTGAGAACAGCCATTTAAAGATTTGAGGTAATCACTGGAGTTCTTAAGATTGTTTAACTGCGTTGTAGCGTGCCAAGACGCTATCGCAGTAGGCAGGATGCGTTGTCGAGACTGTAGGAGGATTCGATCCTGATTTACGCGGACACAGCACAGTTGACATGACCGAGTCGCCAGTACCGCCGCTGAGGCAGCGCGAGATGAATGCTAAGAAGTGGCTGAGAGGACACGTCACGAACTGGCCGCAGTGGTTACCGAGGATTGCCAAAAACAGAGGTACGTAACTCTCGCTCGTTTGCTTTTGTTGGTGTCTACTGCTGAAGAGAAGCTGTTTTATGATTCTGAAAGGAAGGAATGTGGGAAATTTGAGTCGGGGCCTTCTTTCCACACTTCAGTATATACAGAACGCGCCATTCCCCATTACTAATTTCATCCTACCCGTACTTTAGTCGCCCTCAGACCTAACTGGACCTTAAGTGGAACCCTTTTGTACACTCCCTTATCAAAAACAAGAATTACCCTAAGTGAACCCAGAGTAAAATAACTCAGGGGACGGTAAGTACACATGCACTGACCGAGATTGAAACTCGCGGTGTTGGAAAATTGTAAAGAGCAGGAAGATAAATACGGAAAAAAACCCAGATCAGGCCTGTTAAAGTATACTTTAAAGTAGCAGATGTGAGAGTAGTGATTAGAGTAATCTGGCTGAGGGTACGGACCAGTGGAAGGTTTTGTAAACACGATTGTGAACGATCTGTTTCCAAAATATCCCGAGAATATTTGACTAGTTTGCGACTGTCAGCTTCTAAAGAATGCGAAGTTAGCACAATGGCCGAAATAAGCTTCTCATAGACTGGCTTATTTCGAACCACATTTTTATCTGGTAATAAATTATCCTTATTCAGATTTTACTAATTTTACGTTGTCTGCGCACATAAATAAATACTGGTATAATAGGCTACGACCGACTTGTTACAAATCCGTAAGATACCCGCTTTGGCAGTATGAGTCCTTGCATGATCACCTTCTCAACTTACACGAAGCCATGTAGCACACGAACTTCAAAATTAGGCGATTACGTACTCATTAACTTAATTGCCTGCCATGACATAGCTACCCAGACATTTTACAATGTCCCTGTATTTCGTAACTCTAGATTCCACCAACCCAGACCTCACTGACGCCGCCAAACCTGAAGACTTGGAGAAAAGCATCCTCAAAATCCTAGAATGCCCGGTGTGCATGGAGTACATGACACCTCCGATAGTGTTCTGCCAGAATGGACACAACATTTGCAGCAGCTGCAGACCTAGCCTTGAGACGTGCCCGACTTGCAGACATCCAATTCTGCAGGCACGTAACTACTCTCTGGAGGACGTCTGCTACAAGCTTAACTACCCATGCAAATTCCACGAAGAAGGCTGTGAAGAAATGTTCTCAGGGGAATTTATCAAGGAACACCAAGCCATGTGCCATCATGGAACTCACCCCTGTCCATTGGGCAGAATTCCAGAAATTGATTGCGACTGGAACGGAAAGTTCGCGGAACTCGTCACACATCTGGAAAGCCAACACGAAGACCGCATCTGCTCAGACGCCAAATTTCTTTCCCCTGAAACAAGTAGCTCTGCCTCCGTAGTCCTGGTGCACAACGAGATATTCATCTTCTACAAGTGTTTTGGGGACAGTAAGTGTTGCTGCGTTGTGCAAATTTTTGGCACCAGGGCTCAGGCATCGGGCTTCAAGTATAAAGTGAAGCTAAGTGCTGAGAACAAGATAGAGAAGTTGTCACAGGTGAACCTGGTGCGTGGCATCACTGAGGGGTTCGACGCGACGTTCAGAGCTGGACACTGCGTGAGGCTGGATGCCGATGTGGTCTCACGTTATGTTGTGGACGGGATGATGGACCTTCAAGTGGAAGTGAGCTACACAAAAGCAAAGGAACTCGATGCAGCTGAGCAGTGCAGGGTCAGGAACAGCGGATTCCGATCCGCAATCTCCGGCCGCAGTTGCTGGCACTGGTGCAAGTGAAGGCGGTAGGGACCCATCATTTCAGAACCAAGAAAGACAGAGTTTCGCTAAATAACAATGCTATTGCTCAAGTGTTTAAAAGTCTTGCTTTATCGACCCTAACATAGCCTGTAACTCTGTTAACTTTTACAAATTATTATACGAAAAGTCGGCGAAGCAATCATCTGTATTTGATGCACCCCAGACATCGAGGTTTTCTTCAGTCTCTCAAAGAAAATACTGTAATAATGCCTTCAAATACAAGTGTTACGTATGTCACACCATTTCCAATTCACCGTTCAGAATATCTTTCCCAATAATAATTTGGGCTTTCTCTTAATTAGAAAGAAAAATGTTGCACGCCTTTACAAGCATAAGAAAGCGGATTTAAAAAGCTCTGAAACGACCATTTTTCTCGTTTAGAGATTAAAAATGTTATTATAATGAACCCATTTAATACATAATGCCCTTGTTACGAAGTTCATGACATTACAGTTCCGTTGATTATATGTGATTGGGAAAAGGTGAGTGAATTACAGTAGCGACTAGTAACGGAGAGGTGGCATCATCATGTGACATACCATAGAACACATTTCCATTCTATTTGGCACAAATTACTAATATAATTCCCACCCCTAGAGGCCCGGAATTTTTAAAAGTCTTTAAACGCGATTCACCAATATTAACGATCAATATTTCTCATCATATTTTCAACACGTCACGTAGAATCACATCACATTGTGTTGTTGAACACAAAAGTGCTGCAATCAACGTTGTATCACATGTAAATTTACGATTATGAAGGTAATTGAGTATCAAACTCCCCCAGTCCCATGATTACAGCCCGGGGTTCGAGACTAGACACCGACCTTATTGCATCTGTAACCTTATTACAATGTCATGGTATGACTCATATGAGGCAGATCACTGATTGCAGCATTCATCAACACGTCACCCTTAATAATGCTCTGGTTTCGACCCCCACCTACCGAGAAATGACGTAAAATACCCTTCAAAATTCGTACACCTTCGCGCAAAAAAATAGGTGTGCATACAGTTTGGTAATTCAGAAATATTTGATTTGAAGGCCTCACAAATTGTTTATATTTATCACTCCGTTCATTAATCGAGTTATTTGCCACATGGGTCATGAAATTATTTTCTTGCTATTTAAGAGGTTATATAACTTGCAATGAGATGAAAAGATGATCACGTAGTGTTAGTATGCAAGCATTCGTCTAGAAACCCCGAGGAAAGTTACAAAGACCAGCAGACTACACGGAAACACTTTCAAGGTTCGAACAAGATACCTCTCGAATAGAAGTCTACAATGTTACCGCTGTCCGAATGCTCTCAGGAAAACTGCAGAAACCCACCACGTAAGATTTGAGGTTTTCACAGCGGCGAGTATGAAGATTTCTGTCTTTTTGGTTGTTGCGCTGTGTAGTCTGGTCGATGTTAATCAACGTATCAGAGGTCATAATGAATCGCCCTGATGACGGAGGCAGTATGACCTCTGAAACGTTGGTTAACATCGACCAGACTACACAGCGCAACAACCCAGAAGACAGATGTCTTCAAAAACCCACCAGCTGATAAAATCCTGAATCCAGTTCACCCTTTGACAGTAGACCACTTCTTAGACTCATTTTAATATTATAACTAAATTATACATCCAGGTCTTCCAAGAGGACCGTGTAGCAACACCTAATCACCATGGCAACAGTTTCCCATGCGTGTGTACTAGGCTGTAATATCCGGCCATTTCTACATAGCTGGTGACATTTTAGTTTCTTTCAGCGACGACAGAGTGCTAACCAAGGCAGTATCCAGTCAACTGTATGCGGTTGAATCAGCAAGATAAGGTGTCATGACCTCATTAAAAAGGCATATCCAGGCACACAGAGCTCAGAGCTTCCAGGAAATGATGTCATTCTCGCTGCTGCGTTAACAAACAGTTATGAGCTTTGTCTCTCGTAGTGTCCTTCAGAGCCAGCTGGCAAACGATATAATAAGACAACAGAGCCGCGTAAGAAAGAAACACACAGATAAATAAATAAAGGACGTAAAAATGGCACTTTCAATGAAATATCAATCTCATTAACATCTATTTACACTCATTTTAAAATAATGTGGCAGACATGTTTATAGCTGTATAATAAAATAATTTCTGCCTCTACGGAGTGTAAAATCTATGCTGTTAACTGGCCCAAAGGACGTCATTTTAAATCTGTGTGTGTGTGTGGCAGCAACTATATCGCACTCGTAACAGGGAGGGCATTTCTGCGCGTCCGACCTAATGTTTCATCTCAGAAACTACATGACGAATTTCGATTTAATTTGGCATAGGAGACTGCACTAACATTTGTCGGGAGGATTTCAATTTTGTATCTGGCAGTGTGTTATAAACCCTGTATTTCAATAAATTTCTCCAAAACAATTAGCCGTGTAACAAATTATTAAACGCTCTAACAATTTTTAAATAACTTCGTTGTTTAAACATTTATTTATAGTTTATTTAACGACTCTGTCAGAAGCTCTTAACTAATGTAAGCTATAGAGCACCGAATGATAACATTATTAATGAAAGACAAATCAGAAAGAAATTTCGAAGGAGGTGTTTTGACTGGCATTATTGCAGCATTTGTCAGGACAGAGTGAGGAAAACTACGAAAGGAAACCTCACCAACGATAACCGGTCTCTGAGACTGTGAGATTCCTATCACATTATTTCCGTTAAATCTCTGTTTACTATTTCATTTGTTGTCTTGTTAAATAAACAGAGATGGCAGCGAGTCCAAGGGTGCATTTGCTTGACCGTCTCTCCCGAAATGGAAAGATACAGAAAGATGATAAATTAGTCTGGATTGTAGCTACATGACTTACAGCTCAGATTATTAAACAGTAAACCAATTTAAAGGCATTCCCACAAACGATGATCTAGGCATCTTTCGTGAAAACTAATTTTGCTCTAACACATGCTGTTTAAGTGTTAGATTCGGTTCAGAGAACCGAAAGAACGCGTCTGATTATGCGTTTGAAATCACTGTGCACCGGAATGACAAGAGGAAAAACGCTTTGTACCGCTAACTTATCTCGTAGAATTCGACGACACTGCGTCTGTGCAAAAACGGGTTAAGGTACAGTTTATTACGCATTAGTTTGAAACGGACATCCTAAAAACCTTTGATGTTGCCTTTGTATCACACGTCCACACCGACTTATTCAGAATGGTCACTTCCATTCAGCTTTCCGACCGTATATTAAGCACGAGTCTAATTTTGTCGTGCGTGCTACAAGCCCTGCGCATCCCATCCTTGATTTTTCATCCTAATAATGCTTGGTGACGCTTCTCACGTGCTTTTCTCCAGTCTCTTTATTACTACTAGTACTAATATATTATTGCTATAATTTTTCCCAGGGAAAATGTACCCGCTTAAAAAATACCTAGCCCGCATTCATACAATTTATGACATTCATGTGCGTATGAAACGGAATATATTGTAATTTCACGGTATTTCGGTGTGAGTTGTCTACATAATGACGAACTAAAAAATCTGTACTCCTTCCCCAGTGTTGTGAGGGTGATTAAGTCGAGAAGAATGAGATGGGCGGTGCATGTGGCGTGCATGGATGGGACAAGGGTGTTCACCGGGTGTTGGTTGGGAAGCCTGAGGGGAAGAGACCGCTGGGGAGACCTAGACGTAGATGGGAGGATAATCTCAGGCGGGATCAATGGGAGATAGGAGTTGAAGGAGGCTGGATTTTGTTGGCCCAGGACAGGGTCCGGTGGAGGGCTTTGGTTAATTTGGTGATGAACCTTCGGGTTCGGTAAGCCATCTAGTTGGTTGGGTCCACAATTCGGGAATCCTGAAGGGAAGAGACCGCTGGGGAGACCTAAACGTAGATGGGAGGATAATCTCAGGCGGGATCTATGGGAGATTTTGTTGGCCCAAGACAGGGTCCGGTGGAGGGCTTTGGTTAATTCGGTGATGAACCTTCGGGTTCGCTAAGCCATCTACGTAGTTACTTAGTTGCCTGGTGGTGAGATTTGTTACCTTCTTGCTCGAAAATAATGAGACAGAAGTTTGGAAACAAGTGTAAATATCTTGCATCACTACGAATATTCGCCAGACTCACCCCGGTACAAGTTTTGAACACAAGGGAGGATAGACCGAGAGGGAGGGGTGGGTGGAAAATGGTTCCATTGAATTAATTCAGTATTTACAAGGCGGTTGGTTAGTCAGTGCTCGTAAATTATGAACGTGTTCAAACTTTAACGAAAAGAAGAAGGAAAAAACTATACACTATGCACACGTGTGAAATGGTGCGTTATATGATTCGGTGAGTTGTGCTCAAAGGGTTGAAACTACCCTTTCACCCCACCCACTCTTCCATCTCCTTTTAAAACTTTGATCCCCTCGGAACCCACGGCATGTTCACTGACTAACTATCCCGCAAGCAGAAGTGAAAATGGTGCTTCAGTATGGCCAGGATGGGGTGGGGGTGAAATTTTAAAAAGTGCACCTTTCGTATGTAAATCGCTTTGCTGTTTCCCTCATTTCACCCCCCTCCCAGCCACCCCTGCTTTTATTTATGACCCAGGAACATCTTAACCACTCCATGGCCCACTTTGAGCTCACAAACTTGTCGACCACAGCATGCAAATGTTTCAGCTTCTAATTAACATATTCCCCGCTTAGGGCCGTGTTTGTAGGATGGCACCCGGTTTTTCAAATGAAGAGCTTCCGGCGCACAAAGACGTGTGCATTATTTTTCTTTCAGAGAAACTGATTTAGTTGATTATTTTTAGGTCATCCCTGGTAACATCCGACAACTCTAGCGCGTTTTTCTGTTGTTACCTCCAGAATTTTAAGTCGTGATACAATGTTAAACGTCGTGAAAGGTCATTGCGAACAAGCAAGGGTCTACAGAGCATAAAATATAATTTAGTGAGACTTCATGTTCTCATGGTAACGAGTATGAAGATGGCTGTCTTCAGAGATCTTACTCCGTGCTGTCTGGCAGCTAATGACCGACGTTTCGGAGGTGCTTGCTACGTCCATTATCAGGTCGATGCGATGGCCATGATGATGGAAGTAGTACGTTCCTCTGAAACGTCGGTCACTATGGACCAGATTACGATCAGCTGGATAATATTTTTTTAGGAAATAACCACTCTTTACAGTGAGAATCATACGAAACCCACAAATACAAAATATAAAATTACTGACTGTTTAAGCAGGTGGTGCATATAGTTACCATTAAGCTTTACAGGACACGGGAGTCATTC